CATTTTTTTTTTTGCGATTTTAACACTATTTTTCATTTTTTTTATATATTAATAAAATATGAAATATACCCTTTAATAAAGGGTTTAAACCTTAAATACTACCCATTATAACGAAAATTCATATTCTGATGTATGTATAGACTATGGAGATAGTTTTATAGAAAAATGATACCTAGGTTAAGCTCAGATCTTCCTGAAGTTTTATTGTGATTCTTGAAACTTCTACCCTTGTATGCTCTTTACCATTGTCTTCATCGCCCACTGATAGTCCTCAACATCCATTTCTTTCATAACTGACTCGCCTAGGAGTATTTTCAGGTGTTTGATTTTATTTTTAGATCATTACATTTCGTTTGTAATGTAGACAGCTCCATAGTCATATTTTCCAAGTTTATTGTTTGATCACGAGTCACCTTTGGAAACATATAATTACATATCAACCATCAACTTCCTAGCATTTCTTTCTTATGTTCTTGTTTCTGCACCAAGTTCTTTTGTTGCCACATCATCTTCCAGAACATATTAAGAGGAACTTAAAAGTTTGTAATGGTGATGCAGGGATAATATGTGAAATTTTTTCAAAATCTTCTCTTTGATTTAGAAAATTCTTTCCAAAACTAGGAAAATTATAAAGACTGATCATGGTATTTTTAGTTCATCTAAGTATTTTCTTGTCTCCTTATTGCAAATCTTGTCTCCTGTTGAACGAATAAAGGTATCTGCAATTGCACAAGGATGTCAAGGAAAAACTATGATTCTAGCTATAGTATAAGAGCAAAAAAAACCTTTTCAGCAGAGTTGAGTGAAAATACCCTGCTACCAAGTATATTAGATGTATCCCAAATGTTATTGCTCATAGAAGTTCCAATCAATTTGATGTCAAAACTGTTTCGTGCATCAGATATGTTATCTAGATCAGTAATATATGCAAGAGAGTTGGTGTAGCTCCATATGTATTTATGAAACATGCATCAACCTATGCATGATTGGAAGAAAAAAACATGAAGATTCTCTTGTTCAGGAACAAACTTCGAATTTGATCGAGGAGTTTAAGCATTGAATAACGACCTACAAACAAAAATCCAAATTCTTCCTTCTAAAAGAGCACAAATGCACAATAATCTTATAAGAAAAAGACCATAAAGCTAACATGTCTCTGTTGAAATGTGAGGTAAACCAAATCCAGGGCTTCAAAGTCAAGCTTATTGTGATGATTTTCTTGAGTGGATGAAGGGATGAATTCGTTTATTTAGAGACGCCATGAATTTTCATTTTATGGAGTAATATTTAAGGTTTAAACATTTTATTTAAGAGTATATTGCTATAGGAATTCGTAGAAGTTCCTATAGGTTTGGTGTCAAAATTGTTCCGTACATCATATATGTTATCTAGATCAATAATATATGCAAGAGAGTTGGTGTCGCTCCATATGTATTCATGAAACATACAGCAACCTATGCATGATTGGAAGAAAAAACATGAAGATTCACTTGTTCATGAATAAACCTCGAATTTGATCAAGGAGTTAAGCATTGAATAGCGACCTATAAATAGAGAATCCAAATTCTTCCTTCTAATAGACCACAAATGTGCAATAATCTTACGAGAAAAGACCGTAAAGCTAACATGTTTTTGTTGAAATGTGAGGTAAGCCAAATCTAAGGCTTCAAAGTCAAGCTTCTTGAGATAATTTTTTTGAGTGGATAAAGAGAGGAATTTGTTTATATGGAGTGGTCATGAAATTTTCATTGTATGGAGTAATATTTAAGGTTTAAACATTTTATTAAAGAGTATATTGCATATTTTATTAATGGAGTGTCAAAATTGGAAAAGATTGGAAGCTTAGTGTTAAAATCACAAAAAAAATAAATAAATAAATAAATACTTAGTTTTTTTTGCGCCATTTTTTTCAACTATGACACATCATCATGTCATGGCAGTGTCACATAATCAAATAGTAACTTGTCAACATATCGTGTCAGTGATGGCAACCGAGTGATTTGAAGCAAACTGATCAACCGGTCATAATTGCAAAAAATCATAAACATATCGACTTAATTGAAACAAAAAATATGATATCGAAATTGCAAAAAAGTAAAAAGTTAGTGACTTTTGTGCAATTTACCAATTAATTATTTATTAGTTTTTGTAATACGTGTTATGACTTCGAAGATTTTCACATACGAAACGGTCACACTCACCCTCATTTATTAAATATGCCATATGCACTTTATACGATATAATTAATATAAGTGGAACTAGGGGTGAGCATTTGGACATGTGCATCAGACCTGATCGTTTTTTTGGACCCCCGGCCAGTTCTCGGTTCTAGGATTTCAGCAAAACCGGTCCGGCCGGTTCCGGATAAGAACCGGTATTGGACTGACTTATTATTTTTTTTTTTAAATTGTATTTTGTAAAAAAATTTAAACAAGCATATCTCATTTATTTTAAGTCGGATTAACATGTGGTTTTTTCCAATGAGTAATTTAGAGTTTGTAGATGATTTTAAACTATAATTTTGTTGTTTTAGTATTATATTTGATGAGTTACAATCATTCAAAGATGAGATATCAAAACTGAAATATTTCAGCTTTTCAGCAAAAAATTTAAACTTTTGTATTCTGTAAAATTCTTTAAACAAACATATCTCATTATTTTTAAGTCGGATTAACATGCGGTTTTTTCTACCGTATAATTTAGAGTTTGTAAATTATTTTAGACTATTATTTTGTTGTTTTTGGTGTTATATTCAATGAGTTACAATGCTTCAAAGATGAGATATTAAAGCTGAATTATTTAAGTTTTTCAGCAAGAAATTTAAACTTTTGTATTTTGTGAAATTCTTTACAAGCATATCTCGTTCGTTTTAAGTCAGATTGACATGTGGTTTTTTCCGAACGTGTAATTTAGAGTTTGTAGATGATTTTAGACTATAATTTTGTTGTTTTTGATGTTATATTCAACGAGTTACAATCCTTCAAACAAATTGTATAAAGTATAAATAATCAAAGTTTGACCGGTCCAAATGGCACAATAAACGAAAACATATTCATTTTTACGAGTTATACCATATCAAACCCAAAAAATTATTCATTTTAACGAGTTGTAACGTATCAAACCCAACAAAATATTTGTTTTAACGAGTTGTATCAAACCCAAAAACGCATTTAACAAGTTGTACCGTATGCATATAATGTTGTATTAGTCTAAACGGGTCCAAGAACCGGAAAACCCAGACCTAGACCTGGACATGGACATGGACATGAACCTGGACCTGGACTCGGTGAGTATCATCCGGTTCGGTCCACGGTCCACAATATTCTCCGAAACCGGTCCGGTCCGGTTCGGTCAAGTCCGATCCAAATGTTCACCCCTACGTGGAACAACAAAAAGATAGATAGATAGAGAAAAAAAGAGTCGGGTGTGGTGAATATATACCACAAGAGGGGGAATGAAATTTAGGTGTGTATGTGTGTGCGCATTGGGGGGGGGGGGTGTTCATTGAGGGGCATCACGATTCAGGGCCACTTGAGTCTCGGCCACCCAAGACACACCCTTAGCTTTATGAGTTGTTCATGTTACACAAATATTTTATATAATTTGATTTTTAAAATAATAAAGTTTTCGTAAAATATGAAATATTTGGAAAAATGGGCAGAATTTGTGTTCAAATCTTGTTCATATTTTAGCAAAAACACTTACGGTTCTTACAAACTAATACAGTTTTCAATTTTGTAGAAGTAATTTTGCATATTAAGGATAGGTTTGACAAAAGTGAATAGTTGTAAGTTGTATTTTTTTTAAATGTATGAGTATTCAACAAAATAGTTGTAATTTTTGAAATGTATTCGAATCAGATTTTTAAATTATTATTATTATTATTATTTTTGTTTAAAGAGGGTGTTTGGGATTGCTTTTAAAACAACTTTTTGCTTAAAAAATATCCAAAAGATGTTTGGGTATTGAAAAAAAATCTTTTAAAATGACTTTTTGTATAGAAGGAAAAGATAGTGTTTCAAAAGTCATAAAATCCTATCTTTTTGTGACTTTTGGGACTTTTTAATCTGAAAAGTTAACTTTTACCTTAAAAACATATACAAACACTTTTTAAAGATTTTCTTTTAGAAAAAATCACTAGCCAAAAAATCTTTTTACAAAAAGACTTTTAACATTAAAAAGTTTTCCCAAACACCCTCAAAATAGAAGCTTTAACTCGTACTTTCAAACAACCTTTTATTTAATTCAAGAGTTTTTTTTTTTCATAAAAGATAAAACCTAAAAGTTTTTAAAAGCTTTAACAGGGAATCTTAGGATGCACTAATAGCATCACAACAGGAGAGCTTTTAACTTTCTAATTTTACATGACCAAATGAGAAGGCTCACCACAACATGAAGTTTTTTTATGGAGCGATATATATGAGTCTCACTAAAATTAAGAAAGAAAAACTATGAAAACTAGTTTAATATTAGTAGAACAGTGAAAAAGTTCCTATCTCATAACAAAAATTAAAAAGCTTTTGCAATTATTTGACCCAATAAGCTTTCTATTGTAGATGTTCCAAATTCTCCTTCTTGCATTAAGTAAAAGTACAATTAATGGTCGTTTTTTCTCATAATGTTTTCCGTGGGTTAGATGTTGAATTGGGTAAATATTATAGGTGTAAATGTTGCATGCATATAGTGTCTTTGTTGTGTATACTAAATAATTTGTTTGGATGAAGTAAATGATCATCTTACTCTTATGTTTACAATGATATTGATAATATTAGAAACATCTGGATGGTTACCTTCCTACCCTCTCCCAGAGGATGTCTACCATCCCACCTCACCCTTATTCTTATAGTATTGATGATGTTAAAACATTGTTTACTTCATGAATCACATGCAATTGAAAAACTAAAATCCTATGATATTGACAAGTGAAAAAAAAAAAAAAAAAAAAAAAAAAACAATTCATGCCTCCAATATTTTATTGATTTGGCTACTTAACTATTTTTGTAGTGATCAAACAACCAAAAAAACACCCATAAGGCTAAAAATACATAAAACCACAGCCATTGAAGTAGCTTGCCTGAATATGAGCTGAGCCCTTCCAGTTTTGTGGAAAGAATAACAACATACCACTGAAAATTCTGTAAACCTCTAACAAAAACTTAACCAAGAGTACACAAGTATTATCTAAAGGGTATAACCACCAAAACCCAGTTAAGTTAGTGTCCTTCCGACTCTTCTTTTGTGAGATCTCGGATCCGGGCCCGCAACTGCTCCTCTCGAGCCTGCTTTGCAGCAATAGCTTCCTCATCAAGAACTTGGATTGGCAGCCATTCTGGCCATCTCAACCAGCTGTCTTTCTTCTCACCACCTACTACTGATTCATACATCTCCTTCAAAACAGGCCTTAGTTTGATACCTGCATAATCAACCCCAGTTCCCAGAATCGCAATCCCAATCGAGTATCGAATCGCACCACCAACCCCACCTGGCATCAATAGTTTCACAAGATCTTCTGTTAGTTTTGCTATTTTCAATTATGAGAATGAGAAGGGCACTCACGTCTTTTACTAACCTTGCAATCTCCCTAGAATAGCACCAGTACCAAATCCAGCAATGGCTGAGTCAAGAAGATCATCAGGCCCTGAATGTCGGCTAGCTTTTACAATCTGCCGAGCACCTGTCATCATTCAAGATCATACTGTAAGACGAGTGTCTATAAGCTATGATGTATACAGTTTAGTAGTTTACTCAATAGTTGATCCTTGAAGTGGTTTGAGGTGTTGATATAGAAATAAAATAGCAAAAAGGAGTGAATAGTGATGGTTTACCACAATAGCAACCCGTGACTATGGCAAGATTAGTGGCATAAGTTGCAGACATGTTTGCAAGGCCGTGAACCTTTCGATGTTTTGATACTACTCCAATTCCTCCTCCAACGATCCCTAATCAACAAACAAATATTTACAGGACGGTTACAGACTATACCTTTTGATGTTCTTATTCTATCATGGATTAGAACTAGAATCGGACCAATAATACAAAATTTTCAAGTAAATGAACTCCAAATACGCATAATTTACTGGGAACTTCCTATGAATTCTTGGTATAAATACAGTAAAAAACGATGAGCATTAACAGTGACACAGCATGAATACATGATATGGAACAGTTTCTCGTCGCCAGTTTTGATCAAAACCCTATCTCAAATTTTGAAACTACAAGTTGAATGACGAAAAGCCAACTCTAAGAACTGTAAATGCAAAATGAAATTCACTATTATGATATCTCGTACCTAGTTTCGGCATCGGAAAAACACTATGAAAACATTATCATATAAAATATAAATAATCAAATACATCTAAAACCTTTGTGCCAATCATTTGCTGTTCATATTCAAAAAATTTAATGGAAATAAAGCAAATAAACTTAGAGAAAAACCTCCGATGAGAGTAGGATACAGTATGCGACTTCTCCAATTAATACCGTCTTCTTCTAGGGTTTTAATTTCATCGGCCGATTCCATTTCTGAGCATACTCTCAAATCTCAATTTCGATCAAAAAAGGTGCTTCGGGTTTCATGCTCGAATCGGTCAACTAAACAATAAACCGGTTTAATAATCGTAATTTCCTAGAAGGGATAGTAAAGTGGGCCGGTTCAATTCGTAAAATCCTGGCCTAAGATATATGGAGTGTAAAATGGGCCTGCTCAATTCAAGTAACAATCATTTTTCTTTTTCATTTTATGAGAAATCAGCATTTAATAAAGTATTGTAAATGATTAACACTATTTATTTTTGTTTACAAATGATATTTTACGAAGATTAATTTTTAGCTGCTTACATTCTCAATAGCTTTTTTTTTTTTTTGAAAACCATGGTTTTCTAAATAGAAAAACAAATATTTATTTAATCATGTATAACATTAACCCTATCTCATATGGTTGTTGTAATCGAAATCGACTATAATCAAAATGTAAAAAAAAAAAAAATCTGGAAATTAGTCGAACCATATTTGGTTTTGTCTAAATTGAACTTTGCTAATAGGATAAATGTAAGAAATATCAATTTATTTTAGTTATATTGTTATAGCATTGTACTTTTATTTATTCTTATTACAATATTATATTTTTGAATTATTCCTTTAATTAGGACATTATATATCAGAAATTTTACAAGTTGTACCTTAGATGATGACATCCTCCTTAATAAATGAAAGTTTTTTTTGTCACATGTCAATCTCTCATGAGTTTTGACACATGTAATTTTGTGATTAATTCTTACAAATTAATTTCCACTTGGCATTTTATGGTAATTTTTGATTTTTTTAATTAACTATTCTAATTTTTAGGTTATAGAAAGTAATTAATGTGTTATTAATTTGTTTCCTTATATTTTTAAATTAAATTTTGATATGTTTCCTTCAATATATAATTCAAAATTGATATTTTTCTTTCAAATTTCATTGTCATTTTAGTCAAATGGTCTACATATAAAAAATAATCAAATTTTATTGTTTTTCATTGATAAACTAAAAAAATGGTTATGTGGCCAAAATATAATTATTTTTATGTAGTTTCTTTTATTAGTATAAATTGATTTATTTATTTATTCATCATTTTGTTTGTATATATTTTGAAATTTCATTTTAAAAAATATTTAATTTTTACACATTGATATTTAACTTGGATGACATTTGAGAGGGACGTAGTTATATGGATGTAACGGTGGGTTTTGGCCCACCCATACAAATTTGAGATGAAATATATATTATATATAGAACATATATTTTTCTTTTGAATAAAAAACATTAAGGTTGTGAACTGTGACATAGTCCACCCCATTTAAAACTTAAATGAAGAAAATAATTTATGTGTGATATGTCGATTGCAGAAATTTTTGAATAGATCAAATTGCATTTCAATATTGATAATGAATTCTTCATTCATCAGGTTCGTATATTAATATTTTTTATTATCTTATTTAATCAATTACTTGCAATTTAAACGGACAATTTACTTTAAAATCATATATTGTTACATTTTGTTACCAGTTGAAGTATTTTGTTAACTCTTCATATTTGTAAATTATTTGGATTACCCTAAAATAAAATCTTGGCTATGTCACTGCCATATGATTGTCCAAATTAGAACTCCAGATGTAATGCATTGCTAAGGTGGGCAAAATATTATTGTTTCAGTTTTGTAAAACTTTTCTTTTTATTACACGAGACACTTATTTCTTATTATAACATTTTACTATCGAATTTTTTTCAAATAAAAAACAAAATACATTAAATCAAATATGTGTACAAAAGAATGAAAGATCACTGGCTCATAAATCAAACATGCTCACAAAAGATCATAATTTATGTTTACATAAGTTAGACATGTCTAAAGAAGATCTATCATTTTATCAAAGTAATGATGTTACCCATAAAATGATAGATTTTTCAAAGGACAACGGTATAACAAGAAGAAATAAATGTACAATGGTAGAACAAGAAAATCAAAAGTAAATTGCTATATCTTGCATTTAACCAATAAAATCACCAATAATCCCCACACGAACAACATCCATCTCTAAAATGATGAAACCTACTCGAATCCCTCACCACAATATCCCTCCCAACAATTTTAGAAATAACCTTAATTGCACTATGACAATCCACACAAGCTCTCAAATTCTTCATCACCACAATACGCGACCCTTCGGGTGTACTAATAAGAGCAAACGCAATCGCAAGCCTCTCACTATGATACTTCAAAGATTCCAACTTAACATCCTCATTCACATTTTGAACAATCACACTCGTATCCGCCTTATACCCTTCCTCTTCCATCTTCCTCCCTAAAACATCAATCTTTTCCCAAATTTCACCAATTCGAGGGTGAATTCGGTCATTTGCACTAAAAACATGAACTTCATGGTTAACTTCAACCCAACTATACGCAGGTAACTTCTTAACCCCGCGATTCTTCATTGCCATTTTCACTTTGCTAACATCTTCCCATTGACCCGCTTCTGCGTATATACTAGACATGGTGATATACGCACCCGCATCTCTTAAAACCTCCATGTTGAATAAAGCATCCGCCATCCTTTTAGCAAAATCTTGATTTTTGTAAATCCTACACGCTCTCAAGACCGAAGTCAACATGATTTCATCTGGGTCAAACGGCATTTCGTGCATTATTTTCTCGGCTTCATGAAATCGTCCACATCTACACAACAAATCAACTATCGATGCATAGTGTTCTCTTTTCACAACAATTTGAGTCATGGATTTAAAATAAGCAAGACCTTCATCAACGAGCCCACTATGACTACAACCGGTTAGAACCTCAAGGAAGCTAACCGAATCGGGTTTGACCCCGGAGTTGACCAACTCATTAAAGGTTCGTATTGTGGCTTCACCATCCCCGATTTGTGCGTAGGCTGTTAGCATGGTGTTCCATGAGACTATATTTCTAAGTGGCATTTCGTCGAACACTTGGATTGCGTCTTTTATGTACCCACATTTTGCATACATGTCAAGGAGAGAGCTACCACAGAAGACATTTGAGATGCAACCGGATGTAATCATACAAGAGTGTAACTGTTTACCTAGTGAAAGAGACGTTAGGTTTGAAGAAGCTCTTAAGGTGCTTGCGAAAGTTGCATGGTCTCCATAGACATGGGATTCCAGCATCTGTTTGAAAACATCAAGAGCTTCGTTGTAAAATCCTTTCTGAACATATGCTGAGATTATAGCAGTCCATGGAACTGAGTTTTTGTTGAGGAGGGATGAAAAGATAACGTTAGCTTCTTCAAATCTGTCACATCTTGCATACATGTCGACCAATGCATTGCTGACTTGGATATCCGAATTGGCCTCTGTCACTAAAATCTGAGCATGGATTTGTCTGCCCATTTTGAGATTAGTTTCATTTGCTGCTAGGCTTAGCATTGTTGCAAAAGGGAACTGTTTCCGGTCAAAGCTAGTCAACTGTAATTCATGGAAGAGATTAAGTGATTCCTTCAATCTTCCAGCCCATGCAAATCCAGTGATGATCACATTGTAAGAAACACAATCCAACAAAGTCATTTCATCAAACAGTTGTTTCGCATTGTCTATAGAATCATTTTTCGAGTAGAAGTCAAGAAAGGAATTTGACACAAATATGTTCCAAATAAAGTTGGATTTGATAACAAGAGTATGAAATTGAAGCCCTAAAGGAAAATCGTTTAGACCCATGGTGGCACATATGACTGCTGCAAAAGTATACTCAGATGGGATCATACCTGAATTTTGCATTTCTATGAAGAGGTTTATCGCTTGGTTGTTCAATCCTTTATTTGAGTATCCGGTAATCATCGTATTGAATGTCACGGAATCCCTTGTCAGCATCTCTATGAAAACTCGATTAGCCAACTCAAGGGTGCCAGTTTTGCAGTAAGCATCAAGTAAACTGTTGCAAACCTTAAGGGTGTAATTAAACCCCAGTTTGATAACATGGGAATGCACTTGAGTTATTGTTTTTGTCATCAGGGTCTCGTTGCAACAAGAGAAGAGCGTTGTAAAGGTCACATCGTCGGGAGGTGTTCCCCACCTGCACATTTCAGCATACAGCTTAAAGGCGCCAACAGGTTGATTGTGCTTTGAATAGCCACCAATTAATATCGTCCATGACACCTCGGTTCTAACAGGCATGTCATCAAACAAGGCTCTTGCACGAGCAAGATTGCCTGAGTTGACATAGCCAGAAATCAGAGTGTAAAATGAGTAAGTGTTTCTATGGCGCATTTGATCGAACAGTTGGTGTGCTTGGGCTAGTTGACCATTGGCCACAAGATCTTTGAGTTGGAAGTTGGAGCGTGATGTGTTTGGGTGGAAGCCTGTTTTGATTATTGTAGCGTCCATGGTGTTTGTGGTGTAGTGGGAGCATGGAATTGGCAACCATCTTCTTTTCCGATATGTGGAAGTTGTACCCGATCTGCAAAGTCTCATAGGAAAGACGATGATCATATGAAGTTGCTTCGTAAGTAATCCAAATAAAAACTATGCCACTGGGATGTAACTCGCCTTTACGAAACAAAAGAAACATTAATATTTCATACCACCGATGATTAATTTTGCTACAATTAGTACTAAAACTATTATTCAAAAATTATTATCTGACCCTTGCCTTTATTTTAAATCCAAATCTGACCCTTATATAATCATATAATCTTCAATAATCAATATAATTAAACTACCCAATAACTAAAACTTGTTATTACATCTTAAAATCACATTACTTAGATAATCAGTTTATGTTTATGGGTCACCAAAATAAAAGAAACATCAATATTTCATACCACCATCATAACAAGTAACAATTCACTCCCTGTCTCCCTCTATATACAAATAAATGAGGAGAATTTTCCCGCTTCAAACAATGTTTTAAATTTTTACATTTCCACCAAATAAAGAATGATATTAATAAATTAAAGAATAAATATAAAAGAAATCATCAAGCTACTGATGTATCTGCATCATCAGAACCCGAGAAACCATTTCCTCCTTCATTTGCTTCTGCTTCTGAGTCACTGTTGTTCTGTTGCTGATTCTCAAACTTCATCCTTGAACTCACCCTTCTTTGGCTTTCTGATAAA